GCTAGGGTTTTGGTGCCATTGAAGTCGATGCTATAACCTGTGGCTTTCATATGTTGGACAGAAAAATAGGAGCCATCCTAAGAAACCCTAAAGATAAAATTGACCTGGAACACCAAGGCATATATGAAGTCCCCTGCACATCATGCCCCACCACATACATTGGACAGACCAATAGAAGAATAAGTACCCACCTGGATGAACATAAAAATGCAGTAAAAAACTGGAACTCCCTTCCTCACTAGTCCAACACATGAAAGCCACAGGTCATAGCTTTGACTTCAATGGCACCAAAACCCTAGCCACTATAGAAAACCCCAGCTACGGAATTATCAGAGAAGCCATAGAGATTGAAAAAAGACCTGAAACCATGAATAGAAGAGATGACTCCACCAGACTGTCAATTATCTGGAAGCCTGCACTCACAAACAAAAAAATCTCCACACCACAAGCCAAACACCTGGCCACAAACAGACACCCCCCCCCCGATATCTCCAGCCCAAACACACCCCAGCCAGCCACCCAGATGAAACCTAGCTTCCTAACAAATGATAGCCAGTCATTCACCTGAAGCCAAGCCACACTAAAAGCCCCCAATACAGGAAATACAATGTTGCCAGCTAATCAAGACAAAAAAGCGCTACAAAACAGACAGAAGATATTAGAAACACCAATCAAGCAGAACACAGCAAACTCCAAGACAAATAAACACAGACCAAGACTCCCAACCAATCAGGATGAAGAAAAAACCATTCTAAGAAAGCAGGAGGCTAGCCCCAAATTTAAAACTGAAACTGCTGTAAAAGTCTGACTCACAGACGAACACAATACAGAAGCCTGATGATGGCAGATGAGATTCTGCCGAAATGTTGCTACAACTTTAAAAGCACAACTATAATGATGTGGGGAAATACCTGAACAAAGCTGAATACCATACATATAAATACCCATGAAAACTTAAGAAAACACACACAAACACACACACACACACACACACACACACACACATATTTGAAGAGTCTAGTATGTGTGTGTGGGGGGGTATTTATATGTATGGTATTCAGCTTTGGGTATTTCCCCATGTCATTATAGTTGTGTGTGTGTGTGTGTGTGTGTATATGCCATACACACACACACACATACATACATACATGTATACACACACACACACACAAATCTGGGATTTTCAAAAGAAAAGACAGTTTCCAGTAATGAGGTTGATCCCTTAAATCTCTTCTCTGTTTAACATCCAGTGCTCTCCAAAAATACGTGGAAAATAAAAAAAAAGCAGACTGAAATAAAACATGTTTAATATGACATTTACTATAGATACATTTAGCAACAAGGAAAAGAAGTAGCTGTAATTCACTGGAAAAAGAGAATCAGAAAAACCAGAAAAGGAGCATCAAGGTATCAGCAAAAGGTCTCATTGCTGGATGCACTTAAATACTGCAGGTTGGAATGTCCAATTCCTGTATTATCCTTTCAATTATACCTGTAAAAGGGACAGAGTGAAGAAATAAGCTGAGATTTGTGATTGGGGGAGCTGAGACATTCCATAGAAATCACTGGGTACATTTTAGAAAATTATGAGAAATTATTATTCATTTGGCTAGGCCAAAAGCATTTGGATCATTGTCTGTCCCCATAATTATAGAATTGGTGATTTAGGAGATTTGGGTAGTTTCTCTGCATGAAAAGATTGGGACAATTGTATCAGCCCTCCACGCAGTTCTTGATTAAGAACAATTGGGACTGGAATTTCTGTTGCTAAGCAAACGTAAAGCATGATGTCATGTGACTGCACTGCTTAGTGATGCCAGTTTTTGCAGACCTGATAGCCATCTTTAAGCAAGGACTGCGTGGAACATTTATTTAGTTATGTGACCACGACTTCTGCCCAGCTTCTCCATTGACTTTACTTTGTGGGAAGCTGGCAGGGAATGTTAGAATTTGAGGCCATGCAATTCCCAGACACCAAGCACCCAGAACTTTGAGGACCTGCCGTAAGTAGCATTATCATTCAGTCCCACCACAGATTTGGTCACTGAATGAAGGAACAAAACTGAGGACTACCTACATTAGATTAAGGTAAGAAACTAAGAAAAAGACACTGCAGATCTAATCCCGCCCCCTTTATTAGAACAGCTATAAGAGCAGAATCTTGCAACCACTCTTGCCACATTTATAGTATCTTCATGAGAATTGGAATGGGGTGGGTAGGTGCTGTCTAAAGCATTTTTGGCCTGGGTTCACATTTTATTTGTCTGGTTGTTCATAGCGGTTCTTCCTTCTGTCATTCAAGGTTGAAACATTTAGCTTTTTAGCTGCAGTCATTCCCAGGTAAGAGAAGATGTAATAGAAGACAAATCATGCATAGTACAGATAATCCCCAATGCACAACCATAATGGAGCCTACCAAATATGATCGTAAGTCATGGCGGTCATTAAGTGAGGTGACCATGTGATTGCCTCGCTGAATAACCCCACCCTTGCTTTCCCCAATGCAGTCTTTAAGTAAAGCAAGGGACAGCTTAGGGGTAGGGTAGGCTCTGGGAGGCCTAACACAAGCCTTCAGGGACCTAGTGAAGTGGGGAGGAAGTAGGCCCAAGGCCTGCGGGGAGGCAGCTGCAGTGTCCCTGCAATTGGCTATAAGGGCAAATGACACAAGGGTGCTACAATGGCCTTAACTTCAAAACAGTGTCATAAGTAGCTTTTTTGAGGGGGAGGGGGGGAACCATAGTGACTATGAGCAGTTGCTAAGCAACCAGTCATAAGTCAAGAACTATCCATATGGAATGTGCTGGTGCTAAAGGCATATCACTGATCCAGAATAATTTATACATATATTATTCTGATTGTTTCCCCCAAAAGGAAGTGAAGGTGGCCACAGCTGCTTCCATTTCATTCTCACAACCACCCTAGGACGGAAGTGTGTAACTAGCTTTGGCTGCTAGCATTCAGTGAGCTTCAAAGCTAAGCAAAGAATTCAGCTGAGGACTTCCCCGTCTTAGTCCATTGTTCCAAACTTGCACTTCCATCTCTTCCCAGAAAGAGAGAGGCCTTCAGATAGAACAATGTTTCTCAACCTCAGCAAATTTAAGATGTGTGGACTCGAACCCCCAAAACTCCCAGAATTCTGAGGTTGAGAAACACAGAGAAACACGAACCGTAAAGATGCAACATCATATTTTACATACTGTAGACTTACTTCAGCCAGAAAGAGCCAGGTGGATAGCCTGAGAAGATGGGTTTTTCTTTAATCAACCGCTTTGTAGAGCTGTAAAAAGAATAAGGCAAAGGCTATGAAAGCCACAAAAATGTTGTGATCTTAAGCTGGTCTACTCTGAGGTAAAGTTACATTGCATTCAGTTGAACTTAATTCCAGGTGGAATTCCAGACAACTGCCTGTTGAAAGTGCTACATCTACTCTGAATAGCCAGAATAGAAAGGCTGATTCATGGTGATACACATAGTCCTCAAAAGGATATTTAGGATATTATATTCTGAAGAGCTGTCAGGAGGTTAGTATTCATTTTTGAGGCTGGCTTCCTTAATGGGAAAGTTTATCTGGACAAGAGACCATTAAAAGAGAAACAGTCTTTTATCTTTTAGATATACTGTAGTTTATTTTTAATCTATTCTGCCATTTGCAGAATAAGCTATGCATGTCTATGGTTTTCAACCTTGCAAAGCAGACCAGAAAAGAAATATGGCCAGGTGAGCTAATTCTATATTATTGTTACTATTATTGTTGTTATTATTATTATTATTTGTTTGGAACACAACATGTCAGATATCACAGTTGTCGAAAACAGAAGTGTACAATTTATTGATATCGCTGTACCGGGAGATGCCAGAGTTGAAGAAAAAGAACTGGAAAAAATCACGAAATATCATGATCTGGCCATCGAAACTATGTGATTATGGATGAAATGTGTAACAGTGATACTCATTGTCATTGGGGCACGATATCATGTCCAAGAATTTTACAAAATACATCAAGAAATTGCAGCTCCCTGCAATAACACCAGCAGAACTGCAAAAAACTGTGCTACTCGGAAAATCTTACATTTTAAGAAGATACTTGGTTAATACCTAGAATGCTGGCAGCAACCCATATCAACCATCAGTGCCAGTCAATGATATTTGTGATACATTTTTAAATATTTGGTTGACTGAGTTTCATATTTAATAAATCAAAGATAAATAATAATAATAATGATATCACGTATAATTTTAACATAAACCATCCATTGACCAATCATTAGAATTGATCACTATCTCCAGTATTCAATCATTATCTGCTTAAATGTAAAAGATAATTTTCAGGAATTATTTTGCTTTGGACTCTATAATCTTCCTTCTTAGACACATTCATTATTCTGAAATGCACAGCAATTTAAAGGACATCCCTCACCATCTTTTTAAATTGCCCAACTTAACTCTGCTGAATATATTTTGAGTCGCTTCTGACAAAAAAAGTATGGTATTATAATCATTGATGAAACAGAATTCTTATTAAAAACTGAGAAGATGGTTGTCTCTTGAAGGCTGACAATTTTGTGTAAGCTGCAGCTGATTGTCATAAATAGCTCCTTCATAGAGTCATTAAATATAGTTACTTTTATCTTTTTAATGTAATTTTTGAATGGGGATCATTTAATTTTACATAATTTTTAACATTTGCTTCTTCATTTACTGTTTTAATTGATCACTTGATAGCTGAAGATTATGTTATACCCTATGGATTGGAACAATAGGTTAAATAACTATACAATTATGGAAAATAGATATTTTTCTTAGATTAAAAAAAGATTCAACTCAGGCAAAAAGGTCCAGTTAAACTGATTTATTGTGTTAAGGTCCAGTTAAACTGATTTATTGCTTGTGCATATATTCAAGAATCTAGTCAACTAATAGTCAGCACTAATTTGCTGCTGCCCATATTTCCTCAAAAATAAAACCCTGTCTTATACTTTTCAGCCACCCAAAAAGGCAACAGGTCTTATTTTGGGGGGACGTCATCCACTGATTAACCTCACTTGTCTGTGTTGCCCCCAGCCTCCTTTTTTCTGTCAGAGGCCTTCAGAAACTACTTCTGCAGCTAGCAAGGCTTTCAAGAAGGCCTACACAGCCAATAACAGAGCTCTGGATCGACCCAGAGCTTTGTTATTAACTACAGAGGCCTTCAGGAAAGCCTTGCCAGTCTTGCCGGCTGCAGAAGAAATGGGCCATGAAGGCAGGTGTTGGGGTGTGTGAGGCCTGGCTACAACTGTCCAAAGGTAAGTAGTAGGGAAACTCCACCCCCCCATCTCCACCTTAGCTTAATTTTTACCTGTGCACTCTGGAGTGGGTAGAATCTTAATTAGGGCTTATTTTGGGGATAGGGCTTATATTGGGTACACATGTAAAAATCAAGCTAGGACTTACTTCTGGGGTAGATCGTATTTTCTGGAAAACAGGATTGATAAAAGTTAACAGAATTCAAGAGAGGTTAGACTTAGACTGCTTAGAACATAAGGACTCTAGGCTAATTACTCTCTTGACTCCATCCTCAGGCTCTGCCTGTTCTTCTCTGATAGTTCACTATTTTCTACCTGTAACGTTTGGCGTTGATAAGCCAGTGCACGAAATCTCTGGCTTTCATGTTGTCCAAATGTTCAGTAAAATCGCTGGTAAAGGTCCCTTCAGAATGGCGTTTGATGTCAGAAGTAAAGCTGTGGGCACTTTTCATGTTGTAAGACTGCTGCCATCTGAGTGAAAGCAAAGGATAAGTTAGTTCGATGGATAGAATAACTTTATTGTCACTTTGAATGTACACTAATTGGCATACATAAAATGAAATTTCATTGCATTCAGCTCTCAAAGGTCACCACTTCCAAAATACACTACATAAACATGACAAAATAAATAAGTAAATAAATACACAATTATGCATATACCCACATGTTTTATATGACACAAAGAAACAACACAGTATTCTCCCCCAAAGAAGAGTATTTTCATCGCTTGCAGTGATACACCAATGACACATTTTTTAATATTAGCTATATATGCTACCATAATACAAGCTATACTATACTAATACTAGCCAAGCAATGTATAATCCAGGATGTGTTTCAATGGTTAGATGGCCTAGAGACATTGGTATTTAAACATAGATCTTTGTAACATTTACATTTTATTATGTTTTACTAATCTAGGTAAAATGTAAATATATATTGCTATTTCCATGTTTGATATGCCATATGCTTAATAATAACTAGCCAAAGTTCAAGAAGCTAGTTATTCAAGAAAAATCCAGCTTGCGTGGCTGGAAAATTCTGGAAGTTGGCAATCCACAGATCTTAAAGTTGCCAAGGTTGACCACTCCTGTTCTAGCTTCAAAGCCTCTGACCATATTTTTTTTGTACCTAGAATAAAACCATGAAGTAATATGATATAACTGATGACCTAGCAATGACACTGATATAGTTTGAGATTGTCTATGGATATCATAGCATCTGCCGTATTCTTGATTGGGCCCACCAAGGACGTTCGCAGGGTGGATTTGTGTCAAAAGATAACGATGGTGGTTGTGTTAGCATGATCAAAGCCCTGCCTCTTTTTCATGTGTGCCAATTTTTGATATAAATCCCTTGAAATGCCATGGTGAATTTCCAGTGACCACCTCACTGACCACCAACAGCAAAATAATACCTTTTGAAAATGAAAAAAAAAAGGCTGAATTCTGCATGTTGGCCAATTCTAATATCTAGATATCATGTCTCCGAATTCCTGGTTATTTCATTGACATGAATTTTCCAGTTTTAGTTCTGAATTTTGGAATTGCATTTTCTTGGACATAAATGGTATGCAGTTGGGGGATTTTTCTAGACTGGCAGCTCCTCCTCAAGGTGGATATGGCAGCAATGGCCAAAAGAGTCGCAACTCGGATTCATTTGGTACGCTAATTGCACCTCTTCCTGAACCAGGAATGCCTCATCAATGTTACCCAGTGGAGTCTTGCAGTATGCCTTACATGGGGCTGCCCTTGAAAACCACTCAAAAACTGCACTTGGTCCAGAATGTGGGGATGCAAATAGTGATGAGTATGCCTCATGTAATGCATCTGTTTTGGGGATACATGGAACCCAAGAAGTGTGCCTTCTGGAGTTCTGTGTCTTCACCCTGGAACAGTATTCCCCAGAACTTTGGATACCCCTAAACTTTAAATGGGCGTTTTTCACCAGGGTCTGGTCTGAGTTAGGTAGAGCATATGTCCCCTAAGTGGTATTGATGGATTAGTGTATGCTTTTTCCTTGCATTAAGTGTTGTTATTAACATACATCACCTGGAGTTATTATCAACTGAGTGGCCTTGTAAATCTGGTAAATTAAACAAACACTTTAATTTAGCATTTTTACTTAGGGTTTTTTTTTAATGTTTTCTTCCACCAAGTTATCCTATGATCCAACCCTTCTCCAAAAGAGTCATTAGTCTGTGACAAGACCAAAGCTATCCGAGATAGCATTATTTTGGATGTGTTGATTCTGAATGCTCAGAGTTACGGTCAACAAAGGTGGAATGGACCAGTCAATTATTAATAGATATTTAATAAATTGGTTTTCAAAAATGGATAGTTATTAGCTATCTTCTATTAGCTCTTCTACCTTCCTTTTAAAAACTTTCTACATTTAATAACTCAACTGAAACAATAAGACTAATCAAACAATTATATCACATCAATTCAATCAGGTTACAATATACTGATGAAAACAATACCATACAATATATACTGTATTTAAATAAAATGAGTGATAAGGAACAAGACAATAATAGAATTAGTTATAAAAAAGAGAATGAAGCTAAACTCTACTGTTAGTTACTAAGGAGGATTATTAACATGTCCCTAAAAGTATACTTTTATTTATACTTGTCCAATTGTCATACTTCAACACCTCTGCAACACCTCATCCTTCTACACGGGACCTCCTCTTATTCAATTGTTAAAATATTGTTAACATTTATTTACCTCATGTTTTATTGATCACAAAGCAAAACTTGTAAATCTTTTTCTACTAGTTTACAAAAACTGATTCACCATGCATGTATGGATTGCAAAATCCTCGCCTTCCTTGAAGCCTCATGGCACATATCTAGGTGGGTTTGAGGCTAATTCTACATCCTGGATTGGTTCTCCAACATAAAGTCACTGGAAAAGCCAACTGATATCTTTGTTAAGAGGAACTTGTTGTGAGAATTTTGTTTGTACTTGCTACCCGTCCAACCTTTCCCTTCTATTCTGAACATAATTACAGAATACTTACAGATTAACAGTGTTCTTGATAATCTCTTTCATTTTCACATTTTCCTTCACTTCTTGTTTCATCCTATCTACTGCAGAACATCTCAGCAATCTTCCTTCCACCCCCTTCTCTGCCTGTGTGGTTTCCTCAGATTTTCTTTTTCCCAAATTTAGTTTGGGGAAGATTGTGGTAGAAAATTGGCAAACCCAGAGACTTCTGGAATTCTTCCCTCTTCCCACACACTCCCCCCCAACTCAAATTGAATATATTAAAAGTTTCTTCATACTTAGACTCATCTGTTGAATCCTTCAGGATCATTTGCCAACTAGCAGGGAGTAAAGCTGCAATGATCATTCCACAAATACAAATCCACCACGTTTTCTTCATTAGATCTTCTGAAGCAAGACAAACAAAGGCATGAAAAAGAATTGGACCACATTTTAAACTTCCCTACCAGTTTAGGACTGGATGCTCATAAGAAAACACACAGCTCAAACTTTTCTTTACCCCAGAGATGAGTTGAAATTGTTCTTACATTGAGTTTACAATCCCAGTTTTGTATATTCAAGTTTTTCAAGGCTATGCAGATGAATCCAAAATAGATAAACTAAAGTAGTTGGTCAGAAGTTGATTCATGTTTGCATTATTTAAAGGTATTGGCAATTTCTAATACAGGAAGAATAATAATAAAGTTTATCCTCCACAAAGAATGAAGGTGATCAGATAAGATAGGAATCATAACACAGTATACTCTCATCTCCCTTTTGGTCTTCTTTTACTATTTTTTTAAAAAAATCTGTGACTGCAGAAGACACTGAAGCAGGTTTGATCAGATTGTCTTCTAAACACAGAGAATTATTTGAATTATGTTAAAAACTTGTGAACAAAAACTGGGTTTTTTTTTCCAAGTGTTTCCATTTAATATGATCAATCAATTTGGAAAAGAGGCACCTAACCTGAACAAGCTGGTTATCTGTATATCATGAGAAATGTCTTCCTCATATCACTTCCAGTATATGAAACAGATAGAACATCTCTCTGGCTCCTTCTTCACAAATCTGCCTTTATACAGAATTAAGCAATGCAAAGGATTTCTAGTTAAACTGACAAAGACAATGACCTCTCAGAAATAGCTCATGTTTGTTATGTTATTCCTTTAGCAGAACAGCTTTCCCATCTAAGACAACCTAAATGGACAACAAACAACATTCTTGACATATAGTAGGAAACTAGAATATAGTGGGAATAAGAGAGTCTCCTCCAATTGTGTTAGAAAAATAGAGGTTTCTTGACCATGATAATGGATACTTTCATGCTATAGGTATTATGGAATGGGATGGGATGAAGCATATAGTGCTTACCTTCTAAAAAATGAAAGCTTCTCCTTAAATCCTGTGTTCCTTTTCTTTGTATGAGCTGTTTTGTGTCTTAATGCTATTCTTACTGGTGCTTTTAAGCTTGTTAGTAGATTGTTAAGGGATGACAGGTAGGGTCATTAGCGTTCCAGGTTTTAGTTGGATAGGTCACTTATGAATCATTACCGGATCTTTCCTTGCTTTCTTCTTTTTCTAGAAAGCTTTATTAGTGGTTCCACAGAGAAGATGAAGACAACCAACTCCTTCAAAATGTCTCGAGCAATTGAGAGAGAAAGAACACCATGTGTTTTTTGTATTGTCCTACTAAAAAGTGTTCAGATATTAACTGAGCATAGAAAAATATAGGCTTGTCTTACTCCATCTTGCATATATTTGGGATTTGCATTAAAAAGCAAGGGTTAGACAGTTGGGACCCACTATTTGTTAATATTCACCCTGTGCTCTATTAAACTATATACAAGTAGTCATCAACTTACAACAATTCATTTAGTGACCATTCAAACCTTACAACAGCACTGAAAAATGTGACTTATGACCATTTTTCATAGTTATGACCTTTGCAGCATCCCCGTGGCCAGGTGATCAAAATTCAGATGCTTGGCCACTAGTTCCTATTTATGGCCATTGCTGTGTCCCAAGGTCATAAGATCCCCTGTTGTGACTTTCTGACAAGCAAAGTCAATGGGGAAGCCAGATTCACTTAACAACCGTGTTACTAACTTAACAACTGCAGGGATTCACTTAACAGATGTGGCAAGAAAAGTCATAAAATGGCGCAAAACTCACTTAAGAAATATCTCACTTCACAACAGAAATTTGGGGCTCAATTGTGGTCATAAGTGGAGGACTACCTGTACTCCTGTGAACAATAAAAGGGGTCATTCTGACTATATTTGATGAAATAACTTCTAAACCCTAAAATCTCATGTTGTAAAAACCAGGCTGATAGCGTTACAATAACATGAACAATATTTTCATCAGAATTATTTTCCATCCGTATATCCTTTATATTGTCCGGAAAAAAGGACCAATTGATCTTCCAGTTAATGAGGCATAGGTTCACCTCTTACTTCAAATGGAGCTCTAGATCCATCTTTTTTTTTTTTTGGCCCTAAATATCTTTATGCAACAACAGAAAAAGGGCCAAGATTTTGAACAAAAATATTCTGAAATCTGCTGAGGTTGTTGAAGTCTTGTGAGTGACATTTCAGCAAAGTTGGCCCAAATCTTGTAGACTTTCATGAGGAAGACTGTGGAATCGTTAAGATTTTGTGTAAGGACACTAAAATAGTCTGGGCTTTAACTGAAAGTGTCCTGTAGGATCATGCTCTGAAAATTTGGTTGAAAGATGCAGGAAGAAACATAATTAAAACTTGAATTCTTCCTTTGCTTCTTATCCAGTTGTGATTGGACATTGCCACGTGGATTTTGTAGTGGTGCGATGGCCTAGAAGTGGAGCTCTTACCTCACAATCAGGAGGCTGTGAGTTCGATCCTAGGTAGAGGCAGATATTTATCTCTCTGGGGACGATGAGAATATATCTGCTGAATATAACTCCACATTGGCAACAGGAAGGGCATCCGGCCATTAAAACACTCAGCTTCATTCATTTGCCCAGACTCCACTCCACAAAGGATTGTGGGGTTGTTAAAAGAAGATGATGATTGCCAGGTGGATTTTACCAGTTCTGGTCTTATAACAGGGATAACTCTTCTTCTCATTCCGAATGCAATTGATATTCATAGTCTGTACTTTCCACTTCAGACTTTTCCCCACCACTGAGTTTGTTTTAATATCCTTTAAAAAGTATCTGTTGGAGAACAAGAGACTCCTACCAATTAGATATCTCCTAGGGTACAAGTAAACTGACCTTCACAAATACAGATTCATTAGTGCAACCTTTGATGAACTGAACTTCCTATTAAGCTTATATTTTAGTGTATCACTGGGTGCCTCTGTTATGATTGTTGTCAAATTAAGTTGCAGTGTAACAACTTGGTTCTTGCAGATGTTAGACGTAATAGGTATTAGAAGCTATAAGTAATTCTGGACAGACTATACTTTTTCAAAGTAGAAATATGGAGAAGAGAATATTAGAAGTTAATAAGTCATTCTGCACTGACTATACTACTCTTTTTTTTTTTGCAAAATAAAAATATAGAGGAGAAACAGGGAAGTAATGCACTACCCCCAACTAGGGATGGGTGAATCAATAAACATTTGACTGTCCATGTAAATAAGGACTATTCATCTTATTCCCCCAGCCCTGCTGCCATGCAAAAGCAGAATAAAATGGGTCTTTTCTGGAAGATATTTTTCAATTATTTTTTGCAAGGTCTTCGGAATTGTTCCCATACCACTCCAGTTCTAACTTAATGCTGAATTTTGTTTTTATTATTTGTATTAATTATATTTTCACTTGGACCTTGGACCTTGGACATGTATTTCTTTTTAGCTGTCAAAGTTAATGATTGAAGTGGTCTCAAACAGGGGTCCCCAACCTGTGGGCTATGGCCCACTACTGGGCCACAGCCAGGGGTGGGATTCTACAGGTTCTCACCTATTCGCTAGAACTGGTTGTTAACATTCTAAGCAGTTTGGAGAACCGATTAGAAGAAATTACTGGCCTAATCCTGTAAGGAAGGCAGGAAGGAAACATTCTGGGGTTGCTTACAGAAACTGCTTTTCCGTTAACCCTTATTACATTCTTGGCAGGATTGAAGTTCCTGTCTTAAGAACCTCTCTGGAGTTTTTTCCCCTCCTTTGATGGTATTTTGCTTGTGTGGAATGACCATTCAAAGTTACAGTGGTACTGAAAAAAGTAACTTATGACCATTTTTCACACTTACGACTGTTGCAGCATCCCCACAGTCATGAGAGGCCAGGCAAGGAGATGTGTGCCTTGATGTGAGTGATATTGAGTTGGCCACACCCAGCCAGTCACATGACCACCAAGCCAGGTCCACCCAGTCACATGACCACCAAGCCACACCCATCACCTAAGCCACGCCCACAGAACCGGTTGTTAAAAATTTTGAATCCCATCCCTGGCCACAGCCAATTGGCAACCGGGCCACATGAGTAGCCGGCTGGTACACCCATGTGCACGCGTGCACAGCCCCACTTGCAAGAGAGTCACAGGCACTTGGGGCCTCACTTGCCTGAGCATCGCAGGCACTCTCAGGCCCCACTTGCAGAACAACAGGTGCTTGCTTGCGTGCAAGCATGTGTATGCACCTACATCTGCTCCTCTCACAAAACCATCCCCTCTTCCCCCTTCCCCACCGCTTTGGGCCACCAACCCAAAAAGGTTGGGGAACTCTGGTCTAAAAACCAATAAATTAATTAAAAGAAATACAATAACATCCCAAACTGGTGCTTTTAAAATATATATTCAAATGTTCATGTCTGAGTGGTGCGGTGGCCTAGAGGTGGAGCTCTCGCCTCCCAATCAGAAGGCTGTGGGTTCGATCCTAGGTAGAGGCAGATATTTCTCTTTGGGCACAGTGAGAATATATCCGCTGAATAAAATTCTGCATTGGTGACAGGAAGGGCATCCGGCCAGTAAACAGCTCCATTCAGTTGCCCAGACTCGGCCACGCAAGGAATTATGGGGTCATTAAAAGGAGATGATGATGATGAAAAGCCTATGTCTGTTTTTGTCTGCAGGATCTCCATTCCTGCAGAGCCTTTTTATATTCTGCTCAATTAAAAAGTCCAAATCCTCTGACCCAATCTGCACCAAATAGAATCTAGGGCAGGATTCTTTCTCTTTATCCCCATGGATTTTAAAATTTATTCTTTTATTGCTTTCAAAATAATGACGGAGAAACAGGGAAAAAAATCCCACTCACAAAGATATAATACAAACATTGTCAAAGGAGAAAAAACACCATTAAGTGAATCTGATTTCCTCCCATTTACTTTGCTTGTCAGAAGCTTTCTGAGAAGGAAGTGTAGAAAGTGAGCACCTACCCCTCCCCTAGAAGAATGAAATATTTTGAGAAACTTTTAAAAAGGCAGAATATTATATTTCCCTGGATGAAAAGGGAGAAACATGCTCTTGGAAAGCAAGCCGCTGTCTTCCTTAATAGCCCACAGCAGATGTCAGCACTCAAGAGATAAAGAGATAGATAGCTCTATTCATAAGCAAATGCCCTCACCCAAGATCTAACAAAGGTAGGATTAGCCCTGAGCCACAATAGGAATTGCCCCAAACCCCTTCATTGCATCATCTCAGTTGCACCACCCCCAGCAGTTCAAATTTCAACCAAACTTAGCTCAGACAAACTCCTAGGATGTGTAGGTGGCCCCATGGGAGTCTGACAACAGCCAATAGAATACATGTTCTTGCACAGGAACAGGAAGCTCAAGTTCAAAGCCCAAGAGAAGGTATAAATACCCCACACGCTCAACTCCATGTGGTCAGCTGCGCAGAACCAGTCATGTGCATCAATAAATGGACCCTCTTTCCAATCAGCCTCCAGACACCATTTTGTCTCTAGTGCCTTTCTCCTAGCTTGGAACTGAACTAGATGGATATTTCTTCCAACAGTAGCAAATGGTGATCACATGATTCCAGGATACTGCAACTGTTGCAAATACATGCTGGTTGCCAAATGCCCAAATTTTGATTATGTGACTGTGGATGCTGTCATGTTTGAAAGCATGAGAGTCACTTTTTTTTTCAATGCCACTAACTTCAAATGGTTGCTAAATGAATTAAGACCTGTATATTAGTAGAAAAACTGGCAGCTTTCTTTCCCCACAAGGTGTCTCTCCAATCCAACAGTAGACTAGACCTCTGAAGCTAGGTAGAAAAAGTAAACATAAATATAAAAGAGTCTGTACATTAGCTAAAGCCATTTTTCATTTGATAAATTCCTGCTGGGTGGTTATGACGCAGATTGGACTTACTGGGGTGTAAAAAAATAATTTACTTTTTATTCTGTGTTTGCGTGTTAGATTGATTGCCTTTCAAATATTCTATCCAGCCAGCTTTTTTTTTTTTTGTGCTTTTTCTCATCTCTCCATTATTGTTCATTGGTGGAAAGGCAGGATCAACATTCCAGCAAGACACAAAGGCAGCCTGGGAAATTTTAGTTACACACAATTGTGGGCCGTGAGTTGTCTATACACACTCACTTATTTATTTAATATTGTTTTAACAGGACATTGAACACAAAAAGAATCTACCTTAAAAAAAAAACCCCAGAAAAGTACAAAATGTGTACTTTGATAATATAAAAAGACAAACATAATCTTAAAGAGAAATACAAATGCTCTACTTTTGTAGAACATGCTTAGATAGCTGGATGAAATCTATTAGGAAATGCTTAATTAGATAACCCAACAAGAAAGGGAAGAGGCTGCTGGCTGGATTCTGGAATTCCTCCCAACTTAAGAACATCTGTCATATCACCAGGAAGGGGGATTGAGAATGGAGGATATGGCCTCATTCTGACTCAAAGATGTCCTACCATGTAATGTTGGAAGCACATTAAGAAGAAGAGC